AACAAAATATTATTTATATAACATGTAGAAGATGTAAATAATCTTATTATAAGATATAAATAAATGTAATGTTTATGTAACATGACATATTTACTTCGTAAGTTTTGTTTTCCTTGTATAAAATTTCAGTAATATGATCAAACGCATACTTTTCTATAATATTCGTCGTGGTATTTTTGATCTGAAACAAATTATTTCCACATTTATTGTGAATAAGTAATAATTTAATTTAGTACTATAATAGCGTTGCGCAACATTATTCCTACTCTCCTCCACTCAGCATGATTAAAATAAAATTGTACATCTATATAAATCACTTCATAATATTGTGTGTGTCTTTGCGCGCGTATTGTGTGTGTGTGTGTGTGTGTATATATATACATATACAAATATAAATAAGTTTAATAATAAATAGTCTAATAAGTTTAATAATAAAAAGTTGTATAATTGGATTTATAAATGAATTTATGAAATTACCTCGTCAAGTTGTTTCTTGGAATATACATGATTAATAATAATAGTTAATGTGGCCAAGGCACTGATGTCTCTTTAGAAACAAAATAGCAAATATATGTTTAGTTTATGTAATAAACTTTCGTAATTATGAGCAACATGCGTTTATCACAAAAAAAAAGAAAAAAATTCTGATTACTTCGGTTTTAATTTCTCGAAATTTGTTAATATATTCATAAACACATGCTTTGCAATAATATAAAGAAAACTATTAATACAATTTTTGGCTTGAATTCCGATATATGTTCCATTATGCAGTGTTATTAATTCTAAATATTCATTGATGTAATATTTAGAACAAGCTAAAAATTCTAAAAATCTATTATCACAGTTTTGCATCAATGCCATATTTTTCATTTTGTGCCAAGTATCATGATCTGCTAACATCGAACCTTTACAGTATATCCATTCTTTCCACCATGGCAGAAGTCTATAATATTTGAAAAGAATTAATGTTTTAAAAATAATGTATGTAAATATTTCGTATTTTGATT